GGGGGGGGGGGGGGGGGGGGGGGGGGGGGGGGGGGGGGGGGGGGGGGGGGGGGGGGGGGGGGGGGGGGGGGGGGGGGGGGGGGGGGGGGGGGGGGGGGGGGGGGGGGGGGGGGGGGGGGGGGGGGGGGGGGGGGGGGGGGGGGGGGGGGGGGGGGGGGGGGGGGGGGGGGGGGGGGGGGGGGGGGGGGGGGGGGGGGGGGGGGGGGGGGGGGGGGGGGGGGGGGGGGGGGGGGGGGGGGGGGGGGGGGGGGGGGGGGGGGGGGGGGGGGGGGGGGGGGGGGGGGGGGGGGGGGGGGGGGGGGGGGGGGGGGGGGGGGGGGGGGGGGGGGCGCATTACCGCAATCCTATGATCCTGTCTGCGATCGAATTGATCGAGAGGCCGCCGGGACTGGATCGTTCCGTATGCTAGCTCGAACCTAAGTAACTCAAAGATTAATCAAACTTTCCCATCCGGCAAAGTTCCGAGATGCTTTAATGATATCCTGGGCGAGAATGAGTGCCCCTGCACGTAAGGATGGGCGACCTGTAGGCTGTGCCTTTACCCACGTGGCTTACGTACGATCTCTGCAGATTGCGGACGAAGAGTGATCGGTAAACGGATGCCTGAAAGTGGTTAGACTTGAGGGTTGAGGAAAATGAAAATAAAGAAAATGAGGAAAAAAGGAGAAAATCGAAAAACTCGGATAAGAGCTCCACTATCGGATCCCTGGGACGACTTTACCTGCAGCGTGGCGATGAGAGGCGAAGGAAAATTAAAAGAAATCAGCTGAATCGCGAGACGAGGCTCCGGATCGTGATTCATGAAGATCGTGGTTCATGAATATTGAAGTAATTTGCGCTGAGATTATATTGGGATTATACGATTGTCAGAGAGAAGCGAGACCGCGCGAGTGGGAGGGAGACGGAGGGAGAGGGTAGATACTACAGAGAGAGCGAGACGGACGGTTCTGCCGAAGAAAAGTGAATTTAAAGTTGTATTAGAGAGACGACGGCCGACGTATACGGGAATCATAAATATGTATATGAATACGTACGTTAAGAGCGGGGAATATAATAAGGGTGTACCATAATATTTGATATCCGTTTGCGCCGAAGTTCCGACCCTGGTTAAATAAGCGGCAACAATACACAAACAGTGAAATGCATATCGATCGTGACGTCACTTACAATTGAGAGACGATGTACAGTGTTGTTCAAACATATATTGGCTCTGTGCCACGAATATTGTATTTTTCCACGTGACCATGGGAATGTGACGTAACGACGGAATGAGAGAGCGCAGGTGAAATTTGGAAATGTGAAGAAAAACTTTATTCCATGTAAATGCCCGATGTGTGTAAATGCGCGATATGCCTGACAACTGACGAGTGCAGTCGGTAAGGAAGAGTCGATCGAGACAGAGAGGAGACGATAGTGGCAGTCGTTCGGAATAAGCGAACCAAATATGGAGCAGTTAAACTTCGATAAAGGAAAATTTTGAACCAGTGTGCTTTTCCGGTGGCCTTCGTGCCTTTTTTCAAAAATCCCCACGGGATTATAACACGAGCGATATATTAATTTACAATAGCAACCTCATTCGAGCAACCTTGGTATGTCATAACTCATAAAGTCATAAGTGTATAGATATGTATACGTCACTCATAACGTACTGCTGCGCACGGTGAAATCTCGAGTTACGTGTCGAAGGAAAAAACAAAATTCCGCATGAAGTGAAAAAAACTCCGAAGAAAACGAACGACCGACAGAGTCGACTCGCAGGAATATCTCGTCATTACGTACGATCGCCGTGCAAATGATCCGTGATCCATCGAGAAGGAATGTAAATTCGGTACCCGAACCTAAACCGCTGTTTGGCTTTACCAGCAAACTGACTCTATCGCAACCGCATTCGTGACTGATACCCAACGCCTAGCAGGCATAATAATGAGCGCGAGCCACCCAGGTAGGTAGAGACGCGTGGAAAGCGAGGGAGCCACCGATCTAGAAAATCACCAATGAGCCCTAGAACGAAAGCCCAATGAGATCCTAGAACGAATAAAAAGTGTGGCATACCCGATGGCAAAGAAAAAAAAAAAAAAAAATTAATCTGAAAATCATCCGGGCGAAAGAGACAATCGGAGGTAGGTAAGGTCGAACGGGCACTAAGAACGGTAAAGGAGATCTAATAGCGCTGCAAAAGGACTTGACGAGGTCGGAAATGGCCGAGTGGTGCGGTCGTCCCCGGAGCAGGTCGATGCTTTGTTACCTCGTGTCCCGGTTGCCGGTGGTATGCAGGGGCGGGGCGGGGATGCGAAAAGGGTAGGCGGCAGATAGTAACGAGCGTGTCGGATTTATCGTGGGAGCTTTGAGCGTCAACGCGGCCATCCCGACACTCGAATATACGTAGTGGCTAAGGCCAGGAGACTTAATATTTAAGAAAATTGATAACCGTTCGATTATGGCAAATCGTAGAGTGATCGATCCCCGCGTCTTCCACCCGCTCCCTCTCGCTTCCACGGAGTCACGGGAAGAAGTATAGGGGGTACAGTAGATTCCTGCTAACCCGATCGCCCGTCCTAAATACTTGATGAGCATCGGAAACTTTACGAGTCGGCCATTCCACTTTTCAATTGACAGGAACACCCGCGCACTTCCGACTCCCTTGGACCCCGGAGAAACGGCCGAAACGAGAGTGAAATGGCAATGCGCCGCGAGAGGGTAGGAATCGAGGTGAAATAAGAGAAAAAGGGTAATAGCGGCCGTGTAGTCGGGGAATGCGTAATCGAGACTCACGAATTTTATAGAACGAAAGGATAGAGAGATTGGTCGCGTTCTAAGGGATATGACGTCACTCTGGCAGAGCATAAGGAAATACTGGACAGTGTAGCCCAAAGAGAGACCAATCCGAGGTCAGGTAGCCCATTTGATTCTTACGACAAAATCACATCCAAGTGGCGCGTTTGGGTCGAATAATAGGGTATATACGTATATCGTACGTAAAGACGTACAGGCACGTCCAGAAGTTTCTGCGGTGACTGGAGCATATTCTTTATGGCATACCTAGAACGGCTGTTTCGCTAACAAGTGGCTAGTTTGATGACCACGGTCGTTCTATGACGTAACGTAAAGCCTTTATACGTAAGAGCTAGTTCAATTACTATAAAGCGGCCTTCACACCGTATTTCACAAATATCTGTTCAATCCTGAACATCCAGGATTGCGAGTTTCAGTGTGTAACTTTGTTAAAGTTTCGTCGGAACACCAATCCCACTTACACCCCAAAGGCTGGATTTCTATTTTAAATATTAGTTCAACTTTGTGAATCGACCTTTAGGGTATCCTGCAATTAAAGCTGTCGATTCCCATATATTTTTAACGCGCATTCGCAACGCGACAGTCAACCCAAATTACATATACAAGTTTAAACTAATTATTCACCATATTCGTATGGTACAGTCTGAACAACAATAAATCTATCTAGCAGCGATACCACTGTATTTGCAACAATGTTTATCAAGAACAAACGTATCTAAACTTGAAGCGCGACAAAAGGCTCTTCGATAGAAAGAAATAACATCAAGTGTGTTGCACAGAACTTAAAAGTATCCCCTCCCTGTCTGCTGGCAGAGCAAAAAAAAGGACAAACACGGCCGTCGAATACAAATAGTAAATAACGCGAGCTACGGATTCTCGACTTCGTCATTACGCAACAAAACGCAATGCAAAATCCAGCATGCATAAATATCAATGCAACATTAAGCGCAACCGCAGAGTACGCGTGTTGCATCGGTTACACATAATAACGTGCATATATAAATGTGTGTATATATATATATGTCGTTCCCAACATATACGCTCGGTATAAAGCGGGAGAGCGTGACTTTATCGAATATTCATGATAACTTGACGGCGCCGCAAACGCGTCTCATTACCTCAGAAGGCAGAAATGTAAAGATGAAAAAGTCACGGATTCACCATTATCACAGAGGAGGCCCACCGCGTAGTTGCGGTACGTTGCATCTACATATGTATATACAGGCATCCTGTCCATATGGTGAAAGGCGAAAGAAGGTCCGAGGACGACGCCATAACAAAGAAAAACAGATAATAATCTCGAAAGCGAGAGAAAGAGAGAGAGAGAGAGAGAGAGAGAGAGAGAGAGAGAGAGAGAGAGAGAGCCAGCCTTTGAGAGATGTTCCAGCAGGTTGTGTACCGGAGGGTAGAGATCGGCGTAATACGTCCCCTGTGCCCTTCAAAGCCCCGTGTCCAAGAGATAAGGGATGCGGGAGTCCCGACCGTTAGGGCGTAATTAGAGGGTACAATAAAGATGCAGTGAAAAGAAAGAAAGAAAAAAAGGAAAAGAAAAAAAAAGATAAAGAGAGCAAGAATAAAAGAAATGCCACCGGGCAAGGTACCTTCTCCCCGCCAACTGCTCTTTGTCTTGTCGCGAGTATCGACATCAGGCGCGTTATTTTAATCCGTCGTGAGTTCGTCCGGCAAATTGCGAAGCCACGGTAAGATTTATGAATTCTTGATTGGCGGTAATATTAATATCGATCGAATAAATCAGTCTGATATGTCTGCGACGATTACGAGTACATGGTAATACACGTGTATAAGTGCTACGGCGTCGAATTAGCGTGACTCGTGGCGACGGTAACCGTAGCTGTACGAAATCGCTGCAATTAGACAAGCCAAGAGTCGGTCGACAGCGCCGCCCGGCGGTAACTCGTCGAAGCTTGTATTGGCATGGCGGAAAAAGGACGCTGAGACAAAGGCGTGTAGAGAAGTCGTGAAAAAAAAGAAGGTGCGGAACGGGAAGGAAATAAAGTCATGGACTAGAAGAAAAAGGTTCTTTCAATACGTATGTACGTACGTTTACTCGTCGAGATCGTCGAGGCGTAAATACGCGGCAGGGTCGTTGGCGTTTCGACTGAAAAGCCACGCCACCGAGCATGCGAGGAGGCGTTCGGGTGGACGAGAAAGGGAAAACTTTGACAGCTGAGAGAATTAATCGTGGAAGGTCATAACGGATATAGGAATGCATGTAAGTCGAACGCCCAAGAATAATCGTATAAAGCGGACGACGTGAATCAAAATAAAAATACCATTGAAAGGTACACAAACAATTTCTTTCGGAGCGATCGAAGCGCGCGCGTGGGCGCAGCGGTAGATCCAAACACTTTTCGTATCTTGTTTCACGCTCGAAGGTTAAAATAAAAGTCAAAGACTGAAATCCTGCGGGGATAATATTTCACATTGTGAATATGTTTAACGTTACCTCGTGTCTGACGCATCGCGAGTTAAATATTTTCAATAAATACGGCGCCGAGTCTCGGACGGTAAAGAAGGCACGCTGCTCAGAAGCTGGCGCAGTGCTTGTCGGCGATCGTACTCTTGCGTAACGCGCCGATCGCGCCTTCCATTGCGAACGAAGCTTCGACTACGTGAAAACAATTGTCCATTAAAGGAGAAAAATTAATTCTGTTCCGTTTACGATGTAAACGATTTTCTCCCATAGAGAGTCAAGCACGAATATAGCAATTATCAACGTCGCTCAATAAATTAAAGCTGAGCGGACTATCGATACGCGAGATCGATCGATCGTCGTTGCGTGCATCCCGCGCTGTCACGTAGGTGCGATTCGAATCCGTAAGGCGCGCACCTGTGCAATCTAAAAGTCCTGCTTCCGCCAGATTGTATGAAAGCTTATCAATAGGATCAATATAACCATAGCTTGAAAAGGCCACGCAAAGCAAAGCCGCTCAAAAACTTGTTCGACGTATGAAAGCGGCACGCCCCCCCCCCCCAA